AAAATTTAGAGTGTGAATCAAAACGAACCAGTGCAGTGGCGTATTAACGGATGAGGCCGGGAGGGAATTTGTCCCCCCTATAATCTCTTCTTCAAAATAACCATTTTTTTTTTTCTATTCGCATGAAAAATGTATAGTAATGTTTATTTATTTGACATTAATTGGAAATGTAGATTTTTTTTTCATATCAATGACACAAAAAACATTGATAACTGACAAGTTTTATTTTTAATCGAATTCTCGCCTCTCGAAAACTTTTGAAGTGTTCCTAGAACATTTGTTCGATATTCAAATTTTTATTGAAGGCTGCCCCTCCAAACCTAAAATTCCGTCTATGCCACTGAAACGAACGATTTAATTAAAGTTCATTGGATTCAAAAAAAAAGTTTATTCAAATTAAATATGAACCTAATTCATGAGTTTCGTTTGTATATTTTTGTACCTCTATCGGACGAACGAGTATATTTGATTTAGTTTATTCCGAGGTCTGCCTTGTTTGTTATCACAGATTTCGTGTTTTTTTTTTTTTATCACGCTATAAGTCCTGTCTTTTTCAAGATTCCTTTTTACTCTTTCGATTATCTCTGCAACGAATCGTCCTTTATTTATTGTCTTTATACATGCGTATAACCCACTGTATTTACTCTATTTTAAAATAAAACTAATTTTTTTTCTACAGTACCTATAAAAGGTAAATGTTAATTGGTGTATGATTATCTTCTATTATTAAATTACAAAGTGAAATGTCTGTTCATTTTTTTTTATGTTTGTTTGTAAAATTAATTTATTATAATAATTGATCGTATCACCTGTTTTTGAATATTACATTTATTTTATTTTTCTCGTTCCTTACACTCGTAAATATAATAATAATAATATACCCGCGGAGACGATAATAACATACGATAGCATTATACGGTCTATACGGTCGTCCGGCTGTGAAAACGGTTATGTTTATTATTTTTTATTATATTTATTTATTTATTTATTTTTTTTTTTTACCAGTCTGTTCCGAGCGGCTCGCACCGCGTCCCGCGGCCTTTTACGTTATTGTATCGATCCTCTCTGCGCCGCGTGTTGCGTGGCGACTCGGCATCTCCTCGTTCCCGGTGCCCTTCGTCCTCCGCCACCGTCCTCGCCGTCGCCGGCGCCACCGCACGACCCTCTCGTCCGTTCGTATATATACGGACTCGCTTTTTCCCGCCACGCGATACGCATTATCTCTATCCCGGCTCTCCCTCTCCGTTCCCAGCACCATACACACACACACACACACCGGCACCAGAGACCGTTCTACAAGGGGACGAAGGGTTTGCCGAAACAAAAGTACCTATATATGTAATATGTAAATCTTAAATAAATATAATATTATTATACGAGTATTATATACTCATACTTACACGCCCGGATTATAAGACACGACGGGATAAAATTGCAGTAAGTGTGGTTTTTATAACCGATGATGTTTATTGTATATTGTTTTGTCTAAAACATACTACAGCAGCCAACAAATCGATTTATAAACCGCGATTGCGGAGTTTTGGTTAAGATAAGTATAATACATATACATATATATTTTTATAAAAAAAAATAAATAACGTGGTGATTGCGTATCACGGGTAGGCCGTTGTTGTAGGTGGGAAATTATGCCAGTTCATATAGCTTTATATATAGGGAAACCAGAAAATTCCGGGAAAAAAATGCGTAGAGAAATGAAAAATTTCAATTTTGAAATCCGAAATTTGTCTGCCTGCGTTCAAAATTTCAATCGTTCAAAAGATTACTTCCCAACTGCTTACCGACTAGATTAAAAATCCTATTGATAAAAAATTACCGGTAGTCGGTTTTCGTTTTCCGTCAACTACGTTTTTTTTTTCATTTCCTTCCCGTTATTTTACTGATATTGTACCGTTGAGTGTCAACCACCTAAGAGTAATAGCTATAAGTACGTGTGGTTAATGATGCGCGTAAGCGTACCACATAAATATCGTAATCGGAGTAGAAAACCAACAGGTAAAAAAAAATAAACAAAACTAAACAAATTAAAATATGCTTGTCTTTAGTTCGTAAAGAAGACTTTCCTCAATTCTTCGACTTTCTCAATGTATTTCCTGTAATTATTTTTACTTGTTCAATACAACCGAGAACTACAAAACTTATCGATCTGTAAATATAATAATGCTAGTAAGTATAGTTATTTTAGTAATACTCTTAATACTATATAACTCAGTGTGAACAATATAGCTGCTTAGAGTGTTCGCAGTGAAGTTTATTGATCGTCCCCATCCTCCTAAATACTAGTGTATAAATATTATGTAGTGCTCAGTATATGCTCGGCTCTCTTTCTTTTTTTTTTTAGTTTTTTTTTTATCGCTAATGTAAATTTATTAAACTAACAATTTATTTATTTGGCATATCAGTATTATATTAATATTTGATTAAAATCCATAACCAAACAAACTTGAACCCAACACTCAAATATACAGTTATGTGGAATATATTCTTATCAATGGACTACCTACACTCAATTAGTATTACACAACTTTTATATATCAGGTCAGATAACCTTATAATAAATAAGTATAATATTGTTGTACAATAATTAAATTGTATGTAATCTAATTTTCAAAGTACATATAATCAAGATAATCTGACATTTAGCGGACGATTGAAGGCTATATCTTTGCAGAGCTACATCACTTTCAAAAAACCGTGTATAAACTTAGGTATAAATCCAAACTCGATAAAGGTTTTACGCGACCGTGCAATATAACGAACTCTGTCGTTTACGGATTTTAGCATTGCATTACTATTCTGATTTAAGCTCATAGTTCTTCCAAAGGGCGGTGTTTATGATGTTTGCCTGTGACTTTTGAATGAATTGAGGTTGTCAGTTGAGTGTTGGCCGAATAGTGGTTGTGATCGGCGGTTGCAATTGATTACAAGGAGTTAAAATTTTATTGGTCGCTTTCTTTTGGAACCGTCCAGAACGCCCCTGTCGCTTTGTGTAGCTTGAAGGTAGATGAAGAGATGAATATTCTTATACAGTCCGAGTTTTTGGAATGCGAAATGTACTTTTACCGGTGATACACTGTATCCAAGATGTGAAGTTGTTCTCAGCAAGCCGTCTGCGACTGTAACGACTGCATCCGGATTTATATGTAATAAAAAATACTATCTCGTATTATAACTTTTATATCGTAGTTGTTGCCGAACAGCATAATATATTTTTATCATATACTTATTCGTTTAATCGCTTACAAAAACATCGTTATTCGCTATGATTAAAAATACTAATTTATTAATACACATCGGGAAAAACGTTAATAATTTATGCTAATCATTTTAGTTTCTGAGTATTTCGATAAATAATCGGTATTAGTTTTAATGCAAAAATGTGTTTTTTTTTTCTCGTAGGCACAACACATGTTCATAAACTATATAACGCACCGCATCATCTTTAATTTTTCGGACGTCTCCGCCGTTATATTCATAAACTATATAGGTAGTTTGCGGGTTAACTGTAATATCATAGACCTTAAACCTGTACTGGACTATTTTATAATACATTTTCTCTTGTCGTATATTATAACGTATTACGGCGGTTTGACGCGACCGTGTCAATAATACTCCGTCGTTTACATGGTACTTTCAACGGGAACGCATTGCAGGAGTTCCCGGCAAGTCTGTCTTGCGCTGAACGTCTACTAAATACTTATTCTTGTGCGGTTTGAAATCCGTTTCTTCCGCTGGGCTTGCAAAAGCCAGACAAACCAGAAATTGATCAATTTAAACGGTTCACAAAAATACGGTAAGTATAAAAACAAACGCAGCGCACCATTCGAGTACACGGTATCTCGAGAAAATTACACGTTCGGGTACACATTAATACAACTTTTTGACACAAATTATACAAAAATAATACGTTGGTACTTTAATGTTATATACTATAATTGGCATACTTTTTTTTTTTTTTATTAATTTTAACCTGGCTAACCTAACCTAGGAGAGTTACCACCTAAGAGACTACCATAGGAGGTTATCTATTTTTTAGTCTTCCAATTATAATTCAGCAATGTTTAATAATTACTTGTCAAAACGATTATTTGTTTTGATACATAATATTTATATTTTACACTATTATTTACTTTCATTTTGATGGACATTGTAATACGATATCTTAACCAGTAAATCTATGGACTAATTAGGAATAAATATTTTGCAACATCTATATCGAATTAATATATCATAAGTCATGAAATCCTAAGCCGGCCATCTAGTATTTTTGTATATCTAAGATGCATCCAAACGTGTTCTATACATTTACATGTAAAAAAAACTATACGGTACGGTATTTACTGTCACAAATACTTTATTAGAACCGAGGGGGGGGGGGGATTAGTGTTATCATTTTTTTCAAATCTTATTTTAGTCTTAGTATTTTAAATGTCCCAACTGTTATAAAAATGCACATGAATTTGAAGTTTAGCCCGAAAAAGAAAAAAACTAACGCCTATAATTTATAATGACCAGGACAAGATTGGTCCCAATCTTCCTAGGGATAATGCGAGAGAGTTAGTAGAGGTTAGTAGAGATGTAAAACATAATTTTGAAGGCTAAAATTGCGTCTTCTTTTATGGTTTTTATTTTGGCTGAGCGGAGAAGGGTGGAATTACTCACAAACGGACACGTCCCAAAGGAGAGTCGAATCGCCTTGGTTTTATTGGACTCAATTCTTTTCTAGTTTGTCTTAGAGATCGTCGTAAGACTCCTTGCTGTAACTGCAAATAGTAGGATTGGCCGGATATATATTTTGATAATTTAAAGTTTTTTTGATAGCGGAATCGAACATTTGTAATTCAGTAGTGGTACCTAGGTATTTCGAAATAGAAGAACCAACTTATATCCTGACTATTTATGTCAAGGGAGTTTGGCCATTTTTGTCTGTTTCCAAAATTTGAAGTAATAGAATTTGTTGAGTTTGGTTTGAGCCTCCATTTTTAAAGCCAGACGTAAGACAGGTCTAATTGGTTTTGTACAGATTTAGCTGCATATTTTATGTGTCTATGGTCGGTATAAAACATTGTATCGTCAGCGAAGAGCGCCGTTTTGAAGTTGTTAGTAGACGGCATATCATTTATGTAGAAGATAGAGAGATGCGAAGAGACGCATGACTTTTGAAGAACTCCTGCTTTGATTGACCGAGTAGATGAAAAGGTGTCATTAATTTTAATACGAAACGAGTGGCTCGAGAGGAAATACTGTATAAGTTTAATGACTGGAAGTGGGGCATCAGTGAAGGTGTGGAGTTTGTGAATGAGTCCGTCGTACCAAACCCGGTCTAAAGCTTTTTTCATGTCTAGGAAAATAGTCGTCTACTTCGCCAATTCGAGGTCTTCCAGCAGCCTGACAAGTTGTAGAGTAGTCGAGTAGATTAGTAACTAAACTTCAATACTAAATAATATATGTATAATACGTACTATACGTGAATTGTAATAGGTATATTGAGAATTTGGTATAAATTTACTTTGCGTTACGAAATACAAAACACGCGTTTTGATTAAAAATCCCGTATAATATATTATATATTCAGTTAGGTCTTTTTTATTTCGAGAGAAATAAAAAGCTAAAACGTGCCGCTGCTCGGCTATATAATATACCCTTGCGAGCCCCACTTGGAATCCTTAACGACCCTATAATAAAAATTCAATAGAGATGATTACATTTTATACATATTACCGGTCTTTTTTTCGCGATGAGATCGACATAGTTTTGAATATAAATAAAGTAAACCGTGTCATTAGTATTATTTATATTATACACGGTATACAGGCGACGCCGATGAAGATAAAAGCGTCTTAACCTTTGGAATATGTTCAAAACGTTTTCCATAAATCATATAATTGTTTAATTGACGTACATATACAGGGGGCCAAATCCCCCCCCACCTATACCGTAATAATTTTAAAAAAGGAAAGAATATAAAGTACTCAGCAATGTAAATTGATGACTAAATAATAATCATTATAGTTTCGCGCTATTTACTCAACTAAATAAGTACAAAAAAATGTACTGTGCAATTATTATGTATTTAGCAAAATAACCTCAAGAAAAAAGATTGTTGATATATTTTTCCTATACTATTTCATATAATTTTAATTTATTGTTTTGCAAATTTAAAAATCGTTGATACGCCACTGATTCATACCGATTCACATAAATGTTTTAATTTCGTTTTCAATCCTCAGATGAATTTGCAGCTTTTCTCCATTCACTTTTCGTTTCAATTGTAGAAAAAAACAGCAAAAACTGTTACCGAAAACTGCACCGTGAAAACACGCCTAATACTTGTAGAAATTAAAATGATAAAAATATTTGAAAACTCGTGTCTGCAAATTTGATTCCGATTTGTATAATACGCTTGGCAATCCGTTCCCGTGGAAACTGTTCGCTTACCACTGTTACTTTGCACTGGCTCTTCCACTACAGAACATAATTATCTCCGGACTCAATTCGAACACAATCAATACGACAATACACCGGACCCGATTCAATTTGTCACCCGTTAGGGGCGACAACCGCGGGAAAATAATAATCGTACGTTTGCGCTTCTCGTAAACAAATTATAGTATATAGGTGTAGGTAAATATTCGAATGGACTGTACACGGAGTGTAGAAACGGAAGCATACAAATTTCTGGACGAGTTCGAATACCTCGTACAGATGGCGGCCACGACAAAATACTACGTACGATATCGATTGTCGGACGCGGTCTGCGGCGTGCGCCCCGATCGTCGAAACGCTCGTGAGACGGAATAGGTCGATCGTTGATGGGTGACGATAAAAAAAAAAAAAAAAAACTTTTACCGTACGAGCGCATAAGGCATAAGGTACATACGGTATAAAACACATAAAAATTGTTGACCCAGAAAACATTGCGTATATTTTATATACACACAGATATACACAGCACGAATGATGTACGCGAAATCTTTATGCCATGCACGTCGAAGTTTTTGTTTTACATAAACTCGGAAAGTAAGCACGTCTACTGCGGTATAGTATAGCGGGCAACAAAACAGTCGCCGGAAAATACATTTCCCTCAAATTAAATGCATAAAGGATTTACAACTGCGATATTATATAGGCGTACGTGATTCGGGACCGTACATCGTATAGTCAAATATTATATGCGTTTTGTAAAAAAAAAAAAAAATAAAAAAATCTAAATAGCCGAAATACCAGGCTCACACGAGATTTTTACAAGTGGAAAGTGAGATGCATTAAAATGACGACGCAAAACTATGTTTTAATTTGTATCTGAGCGAGATTCGGTTAAATATGGTTTGATAAACATAAATTGAATGAGCATGCATTTTCGACTATACAAAACAAAGTTTAATTGGTCGTATTTGTTCGTCTGAAATTGTTAAACAAATGGTTGTGTTGGGTCGAAAAAGTATTTAATTCACAGTTATTGAAAAATACCGAAGTGTCTATCAAATTTGACCTTTGTATTTTTGTAAATCACAGATTTAAATCCAAATTATTTAAGTACAAATTAAAGGGTGATTCATATTTCAGAGTGGCGGTGTACCTTCAAAATTCCCACGCGTTCGCTACTTATAGGGCTCGCACGTGACATTCGTCCTTAAAAAACGGAAGTTACGAATTTGATTTTGTTTACAAAAGAAAAAAAATAATAACGTTAACTATAACTGATATTAGAATAGATAATGTGCTTGGTTTGTATGGCAATTGTGTTTTTAAAACTACATAGATTATTAAATATTATTTACGTCACAATTGCCCGCAGTAATGTAAAGCCAGTGCAAACGGTCCTTTTTTTTTTTTCTTTTTCTTTTTTCTAAATCACATAATGTTAAAATATCGAACACGGTATAGATATATACCGTGCATAATATTATAATATACCTACTATAATATTATGTTTCGTATGTTATTATTATTATTATTCGAAGGCGCAACGGCAACGACAATAATATTACGTATTGTAGTAATGCGTCTGGTCGGTATAATATTATAGGGAGGGGGTAGGGAGAGTGGGGGAAAAAACCATAATATTCTATTGTGTGTGCGTGCGTATGCGTGTACACACGGACGACACGACCTCCGAGCGCGCGTGCGTTTGTAGTAAATTAACGAATCCCCACAAGAAAGACCGGAAGCGCAATCGAGTAACGGCGCGCTGTATGGCCGGCGCGCACCTTGTATTACATATATTATAATATATTGTTACGTGCTCGTATATAATACGATGGTTCTCAAACTGCAGCGTTTAAAGGCTCGTCCAAATTTAATTATAAATCGATACAACATACGACATCGGATAATACCGACGGCACTTATATTTTTTCAATTCGCGTCGTACGCCCGTACCGTTTGAAAATAATCGTAACAATAAGCGCGAACAATGCCCGCGTCGCCGCTGTGGCGGATTTACAGGTCAAGCCGACCGTAGGCCCGGGGCCCATTCGATTTTCATTCGACTCCTATTTGTGATTCTGAACGGAGAGCGGAACGTATTGGTTTTACAATGACGATCGTTTTGTATTTTCTTGTTCCTGTAAACAATTTTTCTACCAGCAATATTGCTTCGATTTTCAAATGTAGCGCCTTTTCTCAAAAGAAAAGGAAGGATTGTGGTATTGTGGTGGTACCTCAGAGAAGTCGTTTTTTGATTCAAAACATTTAAGCCGTTATTAAGCTATTTATAGACATTTTAATTTTGCGAGTTTTTTACGTAAGTTTTATCCGGTAAGTACACTGCGGACACAATTGTCAGACAAAACAGAAATGCTTGAAAATTTAACAGAAGGTTCGTTATGAGTCGTATTTTGTGTAAAAAAAAAAAAGCTAAATTAAGTTTAATATAGAATTTTTTTATGATAATTTTAACATCAAAAACATACGAAAATCGTAAATATTACTGCCTTTCGAAACATATATAGCCGAACTCCGCTCAGAAACGTGTTTCGTTAACAAAGATTAATTGTTGCGTACAAATATTTATTGAATTCCTCTCTATATCCTACATTCCCAACTTCTCACCAACAACAGTGGCCCACCCATCGTGCGAAGTATATTGTGCACATACAATATGCAATATCGGTATCTGGTGCAGCGTACATTGCACGCCTGCAGCTGCAGTATTTTATAATTATTGAACGGTAATATTAGTTTCCCTAGATAGGTACGAAAGGGTTAAAAAACATATGTTTGACGTCGGACAGATAGCAGGTGGTACCCGACTAATATAACAACTCTGCGTATCCAATATTATAACAGTGTGAAATTTATTTACCGTACGATAAAATATAATACAGGGTAATTGTGGCTTTATCACGAACCAGCTACACCAGGGCCGCATCACATAGCTATCTGAAAGCCCCGATCACTGATATAATATTAATTTAAAGAGCGCACTACGGGTCATCAACGCACCGTTATAAAAATTAACATATCCAACAGAATACTATTATGATAATATTATTATCATACCATTTAAAACGGTTGTAACGTGATTATTTCGCGGAAATATTGAACTGAGTAACCAAATAGTCAAACAAAATATATCTGGGGGTTGTTGGAGTCGAGTCTACATTAGCGTTGTTCGGGAGACACCGCGAGAACGACAGCTGTGTACCTATATAGTCTCCCAAACAACAGATGCACGTTTTATATCGTTTTAAGCGTTTAACGGGCGTAACACGTTTGGGTCCATGGCCGTTTTTTACTTGTAAATGTAGTACACGTTTGGGTGCATAAACACATAACACGCGTTCGGATGCTTCACAGATATAAAAATACTCAGGCGTCCTACTTGGGAAATCAACTATCGATCATATAGATATTAACTCGATAAAGATATTGTAAAATCTATATTTCTAATTGGTTCACGATTTACTGGTAAACGGTAATCGTATCAAAATGTAATTCTAATTAAAGTAAATAGTATGTTAAATATACATACCGTGTATTAAAATAAATATTAGTAAAACCACGACAAGTGATTCGTTAACCGCACTAAGGGCCGTTCTCACCAACGTAAAAAAAAAGGCGTTTATCTGATTCTTAAATTGAGTTTATAAGATAATCGACCAATCGTGGTGAGAACGGGCCTAAGTAGATGCTAAAACATTTTTCGGGAGACTAAAATGGGCCAATCTCATTGTGATGTCTTCTAGGTAACGTTAAGAGGCTTTGAAAAATTTTAAAGTTAATAAAAAAAAATATCGTGCCAATTATTCAATATTAAAATACAAAAGCTTATTTTTGTTCGTTGGTTTGTCCAAACATTTATTAATTTATACCCAAGCGTGTTATTTTCCTAGAGGTATGGTGTACCTAAACGGTGTGTATATATTTGTACCCGAACGCGCCGCGTCCGTTTAAACGCGTCAATTAAACACGTTAGTAATTATTGTTTTGTATTTAACTTGGTCGACATTTAAAGGATAAAGATTTAGCAAATTCAAACCCTGCCCGTCATGCTGCGCCCGTAGACATTTTTCCTTTTCCGCTGCATATTCGTTTTATTTTGTACTTTTTCGCCCAGCACTTTTGCGCGCGTATCTGACCCGACTGTGTGTCTATAGAAACGTGCAAACGAGAAATACGAAATACCCGGATGTCCCGAGTGAAAATTTAATTACTATTATTATATAACACAGTCGGCGATTGGCGTTTGCTGAAAAATCGCATTAAATTTTCGGAGAAAACTGTACGAGTTCGCAGTCGAGTGTGTACACGAATATTATTCGAGATATGTAATCTGTAAAAGAAAAATCTTTCACCGATCAAATAATATACTTAATTTTCGTTCGGTTATCTTATCGCTATCACGGGATTCAGTTCAACGTCTATAAAACTATAGCATAAGCCTCGATTCATTGTTACCCATACCGTATTATTAGAAACGTGTGAAAACAAAGTAGGTATGTAAATGGCGTTCGTGTATGGTATAGAACAGTAAAAATATATAAAAAAATGTCGAAAACCCTTACGTTTCCTGCTGTTCTCCGATCGATGCGTTGTGGACGGTCGAATATCATTATATTTGAGACATACCCGTCCGTATTACGTTTTTGTTTTAAATAATTCAAAAGCGTCGTCGTCGATACACGCGGGATTGTCGCGTTGTTTGACGCGCAGGATTTTTTTTTTTTTTTTTTTTTTTTTTCGAATAATTATATTATAATCACCATGATAGTAGGGTCGGACGTACGGGTGGGCGGGCACTGCAGGTACCTACGTACACGTTATTATAATATACAACCGACCGCGTGCAGGTGTAAAATATTCTGTGTTTTTAATTTATTGTAATATGCAGCGGTTAAATTTAATGTGAAATTATCCGCGCCCTTAAGTTTTCAAAGTCCTTGAAGTCTGGGGTTGCGCTTTAGTATGGGTGATTGCCATCGCCGGACCGCTTCCAAGTATCGATTATTTAAAACATTATTGAATCAACATTATTCGCAGACGTTCAAAACAAACGTATTAAAAAGAAAATAATAACGAACGACGCGACAGCAAACGCAAGGCGTTTATAATATTATTTCAGTACATCACGCACGTATATAATGAAATTCACGTAAAAGTGAATTTCTGATAAGGAAATGAATGTTTAAAGAGGACGGTTACATTATAGTTATTAAACTCGTGATGTTCATGATTATGGTGGTTTTATCGTGTATTTCTAAATACGTCGAATTAGTTTTATTAAAAATGCTTTTATTGTTTTGATAGCTATAACAAACGCGTGCCAATTCCCCTTGGCAGGAGAAACAAGGCTGTATGAGGGGTGGCGGGTCTAAGAGTTTGAACTTTGAAAACCGTTTTTCCAACTACGGCCTTAAGAGGACGCACGGTCTTTGAAATTAATTTTCACACAAAGTCGTGGACGCGGATACATTAAAATTAAATCGTTATTATATCAATTGATGGAAAACGCGAAACGCGTTCTATTTGTAGTACGCAATCAAAATGTACGATAATAGATGAGAAAACCCGTTATTAATGTCGTTTTAGAAAAACGAATAAATAAGTGAACACTTTGACGGAAAACCCTGCGGAGCTTATACAAATCTCGCAGGTTATATTTTACTTTGTTTTTAGCCATACGCGTACACGTGTAAACTCCTTAATTTGTTGTTAAACCCTACGTACACAAAATGTATATGAACAAATATGTACGGGAGAAAATATTCCGAATGTCTCAACCCCGTGGGTTTTCCGGAAGCATTGGTCGGGATCAGTGTTAATCTACTTGAGAACGCTTTTACGCGGTGGCTCACATGCAGTCACACTTGAATCTTGGTTCGTTCACATTGGGTTTATATTACATTGGGGAGGGGGGAAGGACGATACACGACTTCAGTGGCTGACACACGCGGACACCGGTGTCAATAATATTATAATCAATCTCGACGCGATTTGTTTTTCTTTCGGCAAAACACTACGACACAATAAATAAATTACGACACGCACACGAACGGACGATTTTTCTAGTTTCACTACGACTAAACGTTCGCGCGCGCCTCTGTTTTACTACGCGACGCAGTCGTGACGACGCGAGCATTTCGCCGGGACCTTGATTTTCTAGGCCACGGAACCCGATACGCGTATAACAGGTACGTCACTATACCTCGCGTATTGTAGCCGGTGTTTTTATAATAGACGATTTCTACGGTACGTACCGTATAGAACGAAAAACAAAATTATACATACGTAAATTTCCTGCAACGTCGTACAATTATTTCTCTACTCACACCCGCCATTGTCCGTCACGCTGTGTACGTGCAATACAGTTACCACGGTGTGAACGCCGCGCGTCTCGAGTGGTCCGGACAGTGGCGTAACTGGGACGGTTTTGTTTTGTTTTTTTTTTTTTTTTTTGGTGGGGAGGGGAGGGGGTGATATGAATACTTATTAAAAATATCAAGAAAAAAATCAAAATCACTATGTTATACGAAATCGCGCAATTCGATTAACAACAAACGAACAGCTATTGATAATGTAGCATGTTTCACACTTGTCATTTTATATTGGGTGTAACAAGTCATCGCGAAAACGGAAAAAAAAAAGGGTTTAGATTCTAGATCTCTTTGGGAGATGACGTATCACCCACATCATCCCCTTTGAGAACGCCACTAGGCTCCGGAGTTAAGTATAATTCATAATGGTAATAAGTAGTCACAAACAGACGAAAACGTTTTGAATTCCTCATTCCTGTATAAGTTTATATATATATATATACACACGTAATAATTTGAAGTCAAATAGATACAGTTTTCGTGTGAAAAGGCGTATCTCATATATCATAGTAAAAGGAAATGTATGTTTGTTTTTCCGCGGATCTACAGCACGCAGAAGTCTGAAAATGTCCGTACAATACTGGATAAAGTGTCCGTGCAGTGTTTTTTTGAAATTCTACTACCTAATAAAGGGTGGCCGGCACTAGGTTTTGGTTTTTTTTTTTTTTTTCAATGAAATTTCCATTTAGATCTTAAGCGGAGCGAGGAATGTATCGGTTTTTAAAGTGATGTTTATATTCATATATTTTTTTCTGTGAACAAATTTTATACCAGAAATTTTGCTCCGTTTTCCAAGTGTGGCAATTTCTATGGGGTGGTATTTTAAGGTCATTTTTCCAAAGGGTTTTCTTAATAAATGGGGATAACCGCGAAAAAACGGGAAAATTTACGAAATACATTATTTTCAAATCGTGAATATTACGGTATTTGAAAACATGCATAACCGAACTCCGCTCAGAATCGTTTTTCATTGGCAATGATTAATCGCTGCGTACAGATATACATAAAATTTCCTCTATACTGTTGATGCACTAATTACATCAAACATTTTACAATACAATTCCTATGTACATTTTTTGATTGCAGCAATATTTCTGGTATAAAAGTCGTTTACACACCATAAAAAAAAAAAACAAAAACAAAAATTATAATCGAATCGGCCGGTTCTTGATTAGAATCTAAAATAGTAACTTTTTGGTTGATTTAATTGCCACGGGCGAGGAAGTACAACGACGGTTCGCTGTGACAGGAGGCCGTAGATGGAAACGGAGATACGCGTCGAGTCGAATTTCCCCTATTGATTCCGGTTTTTGAAAGGATTCCCCCGATCGCAGCACGCCCGTCGACTGTCCATAACGCATCGCGGCCGAAGTGAGTGGCCGCGCGACAATAACTCAATAACCATATTTTCACCGTGCACTTGACCGAGCTCCGTTCGGGACCGTTTTTGATTTGCGACGGTCCTGCCTTAACAACTCCGCTCGTGCGGCAGAAAAAAAAAAAACCAATAATAATACCGAAAACAATACGGTAACGTGTACTGGACGTGGCGGCCGCGCGAAAATAACGGTGCGCGCGATCGTTTCCAAACGCCGTTTACGCGCAAATGCGTCCGCGTCTGCGTCCGTGCGCGATATTTTACGGAAAACGTTGCTTCGCGCGGGATACGAACGAACGAACGGCCGGGGAAAAAGAGGAGTGATGAGAAGAGATAAAAAAAAAAAAAAAAAAAAAAAAAAAAAACCCCATTAATCATTCGCGCGTCGTACGCTGTGCGGTGCCGACGCCGAAATATTTTTATTTCAATATACATAATAATGATGATAACGTGTCTTACACGGTACTACGAGCGCGGGGCCCGTACGACACAGACGTCGGGGAATACATAACCGTGGGCCGGGGAACCGGTTTCGGGGTCGACATTCTATGCCGCCCGACGACTGCCGGGCGCGCGCCCGTTCGGACCGGCCGAGAGACGCGCACGACCGCCGGGGTACGCGGCGAAAATCGAATAAATCACTCGGGGCCGTGTAGTGTAACAATAACGTAATAATGTTTTTTTATTGTTTTTTTTTCCCCCGAGCCGTACGCGTTCTATGTATTAATTATCGCGCGACCGGTTGTACCCGGCAGACGTTCGCACAACCGTAATGATAACGACAACGATAACGCGCGCGTTACGATATTGACGACGGGCGCCGCGCCCGCCCGTCCACCCGCACGCGCTACTCGTCCCGGCCAATTTTACCGCGCGACCGCGGCGGCGCGCCGCACGAATACGTCACGCGGGCCGTCGTCAACCGGTGTGTTGATAAGTCACATTTCAGTCAACGTGACTAGTTTCCGTATTATTATTATTTTTTTCATCCATATTTTCCGTCCACTGCAATTGACTGGACTGGATGCGTGCGTCGCGCACACAGTCGATTCGCGCGAACCTCCGAACACACACGCGGTCCGGTGAACGAGTTGACCGGAGAAATTCGATTTTAACCGGCCGTTACTGCGGTACCGCGATTTACGCATTTACAATTCACTGCGATAGTTTGATGCGCCGCGAACGTGTATTGCTTGATACTGAATACTTTTAATAAGAAAAAAAAAAAATAAATAAAAACCAAACCAAATCAATTCAATTTATTAGCGGTTAACATTTAACTGAACTCTGAAGGTTTTTTTTTGTTTTTTTTGTCCGTCTAACTAGAGTTAATCACTTTCATCGCCCGCATTTGCTAGTATGCATTGCTAGTTGCATATAGTTGTATTGCGTATTAACTCTGATGTCCAGTATTAAACGATACGTTTACCGTTACGGCGCTACAAGATAGGTCCACTTTTCAAAATAATACTACGATTCGGGCGGAGAAAACCGATATTATAAAGTTCATATTAGTAATTGAATTACGATTTACGATCACAGAACAACGTTGTCAATATTATATGCAGCCCGCAGGCAAATATAACATTGATAATATTCGTTCTGAATTACAACGACTGTTCTAATGATAACAATTTGCTTTTTAAGAGTGAGTCCCACTTTTGCGGGGCCTCGTGCGGGTGCACTGCCCTTGCGCCGGCGCCGCACATTTTCAAAAACACAATGAAGTCTTTTTTTTTTTTTTTTACGATTCCCCCGCAGTGAACATCTGAACTGACTTTCGCAGCGGTAGTAGTAGTAGTAGTTGCAGAAGTGGTACTGTAGTAGGTTACAAGTCAGTTCCAGGAGAGATGTCGCAGAGAGGTCCTGGTATACGTAAAAACGAAACGGATGGAGGGAGGAATTGAGACGGATAAAATACACACGATAGGCGCTTGAAAAACATATTGTTACAAATATTTTGTTTGTTGAAAACCGGTTCGGCGTGTATAATATTCATGTAAGTCGGTGTGCATTGTGCACTCACGTTTATCTCTGTAAAAAAGAAGAAAAAAATGCAGTCACGACACGCACGGCGTATAACAGGTACCTATATGTTCGTACTATAAAAAAAAAAAAATATCTACTAATAACATTTTACTGGCAACGATAATGCACTTTACCGGTGGGAAAAAAATAATACAAATTTACACTTTTATGTGGTTTAAGAGGATGTATGTGCTGTCTCTGTCTTAGAAATTTACGATAAAGGAAACTTCGTTTTGTACTGTTAGTAGTTAGAATATTAGAATGAATTGACCCGTTATCAAACTTAATAGAACATCTCCAAAGTTGTAAACATCTTTAAATTGTGATATTTCACGTACTCGTATCTCACTTAAAAATTTAAAAAATCCGAAACATACCGAAGACGTAGTCGCACAGAAAATGTCCTTATTTTAATACTATGGTTGGTAAAGAATGTAATCAAATATCAAAACAAATAGCACAAAATTGTGCCTCGCAAAGTTGGTAATGCCATGCGTTGGTAAGACGGAGACAGCACATAGGCGGGTATGACTATCCTTAAACATAATACAAAATAATACAATATTTCGTTAACAATCATTTATCGTTGCGTGCTAAAAATATAAATTGAATAATTTTATATTAAATCCCATTTTCCTATAACTTCCCATTTAAAACAAAAGCACACTCATCGGCAGTATCAACTATTAGATTCCGAGCGGAGCGAGGAATGGATTGGTTTTACTATGATGTTTATTTTTTTTTTGTTTTGTTTTTATTATGTTTCATTTTATAATGCTTCAATCAAAAAACGAAAGAGCAATTAAAATCTTGTTGGTGTATTAAAGAGGTTATTTTTTAATTGTATTTCTCTTTAGTTGGGCAAACCCGTTGGAAAAACGGGAAAATGTACGTAAATGTATAACACAAGAAACTTCGCTCCAAATCATTTTTCGTTAGCTATGGTTTATTTTTGAGTACAGATAAAAATTAAAATTCCCATTCTAGTATATATCCTACTTTCCTAACTTTTCACCTACAACAGTGACCCACCCATCGTGCTAAGTATGTACGTCTATTTTTTTTTTTTTAATATTTAAGAATAATCACAGAAACCAGAAAATTAGTAGACTTTTTTAGACGTGGTAAAATTTTCATCGGCTTTGGCCAAGCAGAAACGATTAAAAATGTATTGTTTTTTTTTTTTTATTATTATTTATTTTACACCACATACATCATAAGCAGTACTTAGTGGTAAAAAAAAAAAAAAAACTATGTTCAATG